CCTTCTTAATCCAGCAAGATGTCGAGGTAGTAGATGAGTTCCGTCAGCACAATGGCGTGGTGATGGTGATGGTGAAGTGATCCTCGCAGGGTTTCGCCTAAGCACTACGAAAATATGACCGAGGGTGTAAATGATGGAGGGAGGCGCCGCACACGGCTAGGCCAACTCAACAAACACCTTCGGAGATACCTGTAGAGCATCTTTATAATCACTCAGTTATTTTGTGACGTTTGATAGCACACAAGATATTCCTTCGGTATCCGAGAGTTGCATAATCTCATAGTCGAAGGAACATGTATTTGACATGAAGAAAGAAATAGCAATAAACTGAACGATCATTATGCTAAGCTAACAGATAGGTCTTGTCCATCACATCATTCTCCTAATGATGTGATCCTGTTATCAAATGACAACACAAGTCCATGGTTAGGAAACCTTAACCATCTTTGATCAACGAGCTAGTCTAGTAGAGGCTCACTAGGGACACATTATTTGTTTATGTATTCACCCATGTATTTAAGTTTCCAATCAATACAATTATAGCATGAATAAGAAACCTTTATCATGAATAAGGAAATATAAAGTAACAACTTTATTATTGCCTCTAGGGCATATTTCCTTCACTTCTATCATCAGTACACCTTACCCAATCTGCATCACAATATGCACTCACCAACATGGATGTTTACTTAGCAATCTTAATTCCTAGTCCCATTGTAAACTTAGGGTACCTCACAATTCTTTTAACCGTTATCCAGTGAACTGTACTAGGACCATGCAAATACTGTCATACTTTATTAATAGAATATGATATATAGGATGAGCTAAAGTCAAGTACTGTAATGCACCTAAATCACTTCTGTAATTTGTTGCATCCTCTGGACCAAGTGCATCTCCTCCCTCAACTGAGAGTTTTTTTGAAGTTGAGAGTGGTGTACTTACAGGCTTACAATGTTCCAGCCCCATCATTTTGATGATATTAGTAGTATTTTTTCGTGTGTCAAAAGTATTCCATCATCACCTGTTTTACTTCAATGCCAAGAAAATAGTGAAGGTTGCCCAAGTCCTTCAATGCAAAGTCCATATGAAGATCCTGAAGCAGACAGGTAATAGCATGTGGACTGGAACTAGCAACAATTATACCATCAACGTAAACAACTTGTTATGGTGCCTCTGTTACAGAAGAATAGTGAGGTATCTGCCTTTGATGGAGTAAAACCAAGTTGTTGTAACTTTGTGCTCAACCTTGGGTACCAGGCTCTAGGGGCCTGTTTTAACCCATACAAAGCTTTATCTAATTTGCAAAAATAATGTGGTATGCTTTTGTTTTCATACCCTGGTGGTTGCTGCATGAAAACTTCTTCCTAAAGAACACCATGAAGAAACATGCATGCTCTGAACATCTAGCTGTCGTAGAACCCAACCTCTAGAAATAGCAATAGATAGTACAAGTCTGACAATAGCTGTTTTAACAACAGGACCAGAAGTATCCTCATAATCAATTCCAAATCTTTGCTTGAATCCTTTTGCAACTACCCAAGCCTTGTATCTATCTATGCATCCATCTGCCTTTCTTTTAATTTTATAGACCAACTTGCAATCAATCACATTTTTCCTTTTCCCGGCGGAACTAGATGCCAAGTTTTTTCATAAGAGCTTGATATTCACTATCCATAGCTTCTTTCCATTCTTTTTGTGCAAGTGCATCACTTAAATTACTTGGTTCACCGGTACTAGTAAGAAAAGCATGTTCGCGACTACCATATCTTATTGTACCATATTTGTATTCTTTAGGCATGAATATTCGGACTGTGATCCGGTGCTACGCCGAGAGACTTCAGTACAAAAGTAGAAGGCCCTGGTGCAGTAATTATTTGTGCATCATTTGTATTTTGTAGAACATGTGGCTTAGATGCAGAAGATTCCCGAATAAAGGGCTCAGCCATAGAAGATCCAGGCACATCAACCGAAGGCGATCCACTGCCCTGATGCTCCAGATCCGAGACAGTCGGTTCATCCGAGAAGACGCGCCTTGCACTAATTGTCAACTGGCGGGCTCCGCATGGCAGCATCAGGTGACGCCCGCTGTAGTGCGCGGCAGGGCAAACTATTGATGGGCCCCACGGCTGTTGGCCTATCGCCCGCAGCGTCGGCCCGCCACTTGTGGAAGGCATAATGTCGTCGTGCCCTTGTAACCTTTATAATATAAGAACCCTTATACCCCTATTATTTGTAATAAAGAGTGTTGTTCTGTTCTATGCTAATCAGTGCCGTATTCCAGAAGACTTGATCTCTTTGTTGGAATACGGGGTGCTCCGGCTCCTCTGTGCCGGGGTGCCACACCAAGCCCATCACACTATTTATTTTCTTTCTCAACCCGCCGAACATCTTAACTAATACCCGGAAAATTTGATTTAAAATGTTATAAACTCTGCCATGGTAGACTTTATATGGTACTACGTTCTGAACACCAATACACCATTTTTTAATCATTATTCTTAGCCACCGAACATTTTTTGTGACGCCAAACATTTTCCGTGGAACTACGAATCGTCCCAGAAAATGGACATGCCTAGTGACGCCCAAAAGAGCTGCCTAAAATCAGGCTAGAGCTTCATCAAAGTTGCAAAGAGCGCTGCCCCAGGAGGAAAACACCTGGTGATGGTTGACCGTCATAGAAAATGATCTTTGGCGACGTTTTCTGTTTCATCACCAGGGTTTTTGTCAATGGACAGAGCAGATTTTGTAGTCTATACTGTAAATCAAATTATACTAAGTATAATCGGAATGAACACTAAGTACAATATCAAATTATATTACAACTGATCAAAGTATACAATCGGTTTCTAACTTTCTATACAAGTACATCAAATTATACTAAGTATACAATCGGTTTCTAACTTTCTATACTAAGTATAATTGGAACGAATACTATGTACAATATCAAATTATACTAGAACTAATCTAAGTATAAAATCTGGTCATGGACGTCCAAGGATTCAACCCTAAGTACAAAATCAAATTATGCTACTACTAATCTAATTCTACCAATCAAAATTCAACCCTAAGTACAAAATCTGTTCATGAACGTCCATGGATTCAACCCTGAGTACAAAATCAATTTATACTACTAGTCTTCTAATTCTACACGGACGTTCATGGATTCCAATAGAATTATACTACGGCGGTGACGAGCTGTGAGGACCGGAGGGGAAGAGAGAAGATCTAACCTGCTAGTCCAGCAGCGAGGTCCGGAGTGGCGGCGGCGGCGCTGGTCAAGAGGTGGACTGAAATGGATGTGGGCCGATCAGAATGAGTTAGATTTTTTTTTCTGGGGGGTAGATATTGGACTAGTGTTGGCTCCGCACTGGGACGCCGCGGCGTCCTCTTGCGCCGGCAGCTGCTCCCGCCACACCACCTCCCGCGAGCTGTTTGTGGCGACATCCCGATAAAGATTGTTATTTCGGATATGCGCAGGTAGTTATTCATGATCGATCAATTGAGAAGGGTGTGTATATATATGTGGACCGGAATTTGGGTGGACGCCGGCTTGTTTGGAATATACTTGTTTCGTCCTAAAACAAGTGTCGTGAGTACCAATTTGGAATATACCAACACTAGCAGACAATTCACACGTGGATGGGAGGGTTGAGGTGACGGCCGAAAAAAATACAGGAGCGATGGGTTGATTTAAAAAAAGGTCGGGGATTTTTCGTAGAAATAAGGTGCATATGCGGATGGATTATCTTTATTTGGATCATGAAGTGTTGGTGTGAGAAGCTACCCTAACATCCTTAACTGATGCATACTTAAGCTCTGCACTTCCATCGAACGAAAGAGTGGTGATGCATGGAATAGTCTTTTAGCGGGAGAAATATACAATATGATTCGCACGGGTGCATGGAATAGTCCCTTAGCTATATGCATCCGGTTGCATATTGGAAGAAATTTGACGAAAGTGAACAAATTTGAGGGATATTTAGACAAACCAGACATATTAATTCATACTTGAATAATTTTTAGATAAAACGTGATGCTTTTCATCTAGAACGTGTCATCAGGATCAATAGCTAGACAGCATTACGGTAGACCACCAACTACTCGTTTGAACTTGTCAGGTACTCCGTAGCATGCTAGTTCGTCCTTGCTTGCACATGTATGTGCTAGTCCTGTTTGATGCGTTTTTTCTGTCTGTCTGTTTATTCCCAAGGCAGCTGGTTGATATTCCAGACAAATTCAGAAAGTATTTGAACAAGTGAGAATCAGTCTAAGGAGGCGAGGTGGGACTATTCAAAGAAAATATCCTTTCCATTGTCAAACCGACATGCTAGCCGAGTTGGTCTCTGCCTTGGCACATGGCTCGTGAGATTATGGGCTTGATCCCCACAGCAAGCTCTATTTGTTGACTGTTGGCCCATAAGAGAACCGTCTAGCCCGTATAAGAGAAAATCACGTTTGTCTGGGCGTTGCTCTATGGCCTAAATTCAGCGACGTACCATCCTTCATTAATACCACCTCGGATATTAAAGAAAATTGATGGGTTGAACGGACGAAAAACGGACGAAATTACGGTGGTAAGAAGTGATAGCCCTTTTATTAGTAGGTATAGATATAGATATAAAAGCTATCTCAAAAACAAAAAATAGAGAAATATAACACATATATTTTGCTAGTCAAAGTTGAACCAGAATATACTACAAAAGGAGAATAATAAACCGGAACGGAAAAAAGTACTACATCAAACGGTTAATACGGGAAACAAAAGGTCTTAGACCACGCGCCTCCTTTGGGCAAGGATAATAGTGACTGACTAGATGACCCACAGAAGTCAGGCCCTACAGATCAGGGACCGAACAAACCGAGTACTTCTTCGTGCCACGAGGCAAAGTCGTCGGTTACGGCGCCTGTCTCATGTCTGGGTCGGTATCGGACTGGCGATTATCTATAAATACCAAATCGATCGACGCATCAATGCATCAGCAAAAGACACAATTGATACCATGGAACAACGAGACCTCCGTCGTTCCGCGGCCGCCGCCGCCCCTTCCTATCCAATCAAGAAAGAGAGTCATTGTTTCTCAAAGAGAAAGAAAGATCACCATCACCAAGTCAGCGGCGGCATAACGGCGTCTATGCCCGACGACGTGCTTGCCGACATCTTCACCCGGTTGCGGGACATGGCCACCGTTGTCCGCTGCGCCGCCACGTGCCGGCGATGGGGCCACCTCGTGGCCACCAGGGCAGCGGTCATCTCCCCCTGCATGCCGCCCCTCGGCCGCTTCTTCCCCAGCCTTGCCGTTGGTCTCTTCCACCAGGAGAACGACTGGCCGCCCACTACGCGCACAAGGGACCCGCCATCGCAGCGGCCGTGTTTTATCGCAACGGCCTCAGGCACACGTTTCATCCGTGGTGATGACCAGAGCTCTTTAGCTATCTTGGGGCTAGATGGAGGCGACCGGCTTCTGGACCACTCCCGTCCCATTGCATCCCGGAATGGCCGCCTCGTTCTCGAGCTCCGGCGCAACCAGGATCATGAGTCTGATGGCCTCCGGCTCGCCATCTGCAACCCAATGATGCTTGACAAGATCGATGTCATCCCGCCATTGGTCTTAGTAGGCAAGAACACTACAAAGATACTGGACTACGGCTGCGCGTTGCTCACCGGCCACGACCTCAACCCTCCGTGCCACCAAGATTTTTTCCACATTCTGCTCATCTACAGCCACAATCATCCTGGCGGGCAGTCCACGGTGCTCCGATGCTACTCCTCGGATACGGGGCGCTGGGGACCAGAGACTGAATCCATTGTCAAGATCCCCATCTCCAAGATAGGCAATATCGGGCCCGCTGTGGTACGCCGCGGGGTGGCATTCTGGGCTCTCGAACAGGGTGTGCTCGGGGTGCGCCTCGATTTGAAGGACCACACCATGGACATGCACATGGTGCCTTGCGACACCTCACGCACGGGTCCAAACAACCGACTCATGGGCATCTCGCCCGACAACCGGCTCTACTTAATGTATTATGGTTACATGGGAGCGCCGTTGGGGAAACTTGTGTTGAAGCTAACCTATCTCGAGTTTCCCAATGAAGATGACATGCAAACCGGCAAGATATGTAGAAAATGCAGAATTGTGTTGGTGGAGCAAATGGGGAAACTGATGATGGTGGTGACTCGCTATGTCCGCACCATCAAGTTGTGGTGGTTTGGCGAGAAGAGCGGCATCCTGTTGTTTACAATGGGAGAAGGGAGCGGGCAACCTGGCACCTACATGTTGAAACTTGAGGAGAATGCCGTTGATAAGTTGGCCGATGATGGTCACTTATGGAAAAACTTGCTCGGGTACGAGATGGATATGACGGCGTACCTTACATCGTTCAGCTCAGGCATATATTCTTCAAACGAGTGAGTCATTCTGACTGGAGGTGATCACACAATTATACAGAGTACGAGTGCAACCGATGGAAGATGCTCGGATGTGGCACATTTAACCAGTTTGGATGACGGTCTAGTTGTGGCATTTATATTTTGATTGTGTATTTGATAATTATCGTTGATTTAGTACAAAATTGTACTAAATCAGCGATAATCAATGTGGATCTGATTTAGAATATACAGATGTATGCATCGTAATGATGCAGAGGCTGAGCTCAATCCTGCATTAGGAAAAAAATAAGGTGTTAACTGCATGGGTTATGCACCTCTCATTTGTTTGTTTGGACACTTAATTTACTCTGATCGATCAGAATTATGCACGCAGTAGCGTGTATAAGCAACGAATATGTTAAGTACTATCGAGTGTGTTAAGTTGAAACAACGGTATCTTATATTTACTCTCATGTCTTACATTTTCTAGCCCTTGGAAGCTAGAACAACGGTATACTAAGTAACATCTAGCTTGTTTGTTTTAATCTTCCCCAGAGTCGAGAAGGGTATCAATTAGTCTCGCAAGCTCTCTCTCCATGTAATGCCGCTGCGGCGCTGCCATCTCTAGACTTCCATCAAATGAGGACGTGGGCATAGCCCAGTGGTTGGGGGCGCATGATTGTAAACCTAACGACCAGAGTTCGATCCACGTCGGGGACGAATTTCTGGAATTCTCATGAGGGATGCTTCTTCTATATCAATAAAACCGTGGGTGCTAGTGCCCATGGAGTTTCATTTTTTTTGAGGATGTGGGCATAGCCCAGTGGTTGGGGGCGCATGATTGTAAACCTAACGACCAGAGTTCGATCCACGTCGGGGACGAATTTCTGGAATTCTCATGAGGGATGCTTCTTCTATATCAATAAAACCGTGGGTGCTAGTGCCCATGGAGTTTCATTTTTTTTTTTAGACTTCCATCAAATTTGGCTCTAGACTCTTGCCGCCGGCGTGTTCTTTTCGGTCTCTAATCTGTTCCACTATCGAACCAGACTTTTACACGTGCATCTCGCCGCATGAGCTTACGTCTAGCTCCGTGCAGTATCGTGTTCGGAAGGAATCAACCTAGCTTCCACCCGGACCAACTCCGCCACCGAGCAACTTCCTTTGGAAACTGGGATTTCGTCGAGTTTCATGTTTTCGTCAAGTTCAAATCATCAAAAGCTCGACATTGTAATGTGTCTGCCGAGTTTGTTGTTAATTAGACTCGGGAGTGACACGATACTCTGCAGACATCACCGTTTTCCTAGTGCCAGGCATAAAGAACTTAACGGAAGAAAGAAACTCGGCAGGGTCACACTTTCGCCAAGTTCTGCCATATATAAACACGGACAGGTGGACCAGCCAAGGAACAGGCGACGAACACATGACGGCCGTCCATGTTTGCTGGGTTTCCACTAATGCAAACTCGGCAATCGTTTTGCAAAGTGATGTTATATTGTGGGATGGAGGGAGTGTTATGGAATTGCAATGGAATCCCGGCAAAAAAATTTGCTACTTTTTTGTAACGAAATTCCAGGGGTCACGTGTATGGCGAGCACCCGTGGGTAAAACTCGACAAAAAATTGATAGGCGGCACTACGGGAAATGTGGCAACGGCTACTCGACGGTTGGCCTTCCTATGCCCAATTACAAAGCACGGCAAAGGGCTGACCCTTCGTGTGCCCCCACCCAACCAAACACCCTCTTAGGCCTCGTTTGGTTACTGGGGATCCCCCAGGGATCCCGGCCTTTTTCCAGGGGGTGAAACCCACGCGGAGACTGTCCCTCCAAGAGATGGCCACGACATTTGGAGGCCCCAGCCCACGGGGCAGGCCGGCCCTAACCCCGCTCTTTTCCCGGGTAGAGTTTGCACGTCTAAGCACCCGTGGGAATTTTCTCTCGCTCTTTTCTCACGCTCGGTCATGGTCTGCGACGCCCACTTCCTTCCTCTGAGCCTGTCCATCTTCCCTCGTCCAGCCATTGCTG